CCTGGCGGCGCCCCTTCCCAAGGGGCATCCTAGGCGGCTGCCTAGTCCGCCTAACAGGTAGTGCCGGCCCTGGAGGGAGTTTAAGCATGCGTGGGATAGGCATAAGGCTATCCTAACTATAAGATAAGGCCAGGGACTAATGAAAGTATTTAGAAAATTGGGCAGACTAGATGGGCCAAATGGTTCTTATCTGCCGTCACATTCTATGTTTCTATGTTAAAAAAAGAAACACCGAAGGAACGTTGGTAGAGATAGGACAAGAACCACAAGGGGACAGTGTCACAGGAACTGACTGAAGAGTTTGCAGAATGAGAGCATGATCCATAGTGTCAAAGGCAGCTGAGAAGTCAAAAAGGATCAGTATGGAGTTGAGGATTTGGATTAGGCCACAATTGGATTGTTAGTTTCTTTAATCACAGCATTCTCAGTAGAAAGGAAGGGGAAGAAGCCAGACTGAAGAGGGTCATAGAGAGTTCAAGTTGAGAAAACATGCCAGATGAATCTTTCTAGAAGCTTTGAGAATAACGGGAACAGAGATATGGGACAGAAGATAGACATGGAATATGGGTCAAGAGATGGCTTTTTTAGGATAGGTAAGGCTTTAGCAGATATAAGAGCAACAGGGATAATGCCAGATGAAATAGAGCAGTTGAAGATATGCATTAAGGATGACACACGAGGGGGAGGGAGAGAGATCATAATGATGAGGTGGGGTGGGATCAAGTGGACAAGAAGAAAGTTGAAATATACCTGTTCATGTAAGAGAGAGGAGTGAAGGGGGGAGAAAATATGTAGTAGTAAGAGAGGAAAAGTTTTATTGTTTAGGAAGGGCGAGGGCTGCACAGTAGGAGTGCATAATGAATTTGTAATGGATAAAATCTGACCATATACGAGACTTCCTCCAGCAGGGTTCAGTTGGATGAGAGCATCTCTATAGGTAGCGGGTTAACAGTGTGCCATGGTTGGAGGTGTGTTCTCCTTGAGTTGTGCGTTTGGAGTGGGGCTGCAGCATCCAGGGCAGAGGTGAAGGTAGCATTGTAGAAGGAGATAGTCAGAGAGGGACAGAAGTAGGTAAGTGAGTTGGGAATGGACATCAACTAACAGTTTCTGGACCAGGCTGCGTCACTGTGAGATCTCTCCATCTTTAAGTAGTGAAAGTAGTAAATGGTCAAACCCTGTTAAGACACCAAATGAACATCTTTCACATGGAGATTTTATGAAAAATGAATTACATTATTATGCCATAAGACAGAAGGGGCACTTTTTTTGAGCAAGCCCTAGTCAATGTATTTTTTTTTCTTTGAGCCACATACCTATTGACTCAAAATAGAAGATAACTTTGTAAAATCACCCACAAAGTTCTGTTTGCGCTTTTATGCACCTAGTGTATAACATACTCATTCCACTATAGAGTGTAGATTATAATACCCAGCCACAAGAGAAACCACCACAATAAATTTAAAACAGCCAAACAAATAGATATAAAAGAGTCTTGTGTGTGCCATAGCTTTTCACATAATATATCCATCATATTTTAAGTCAAATACCTGGCACACCCAATATGCACCTTTCTACCTTGTTTTCTCCAGGTTTTTTGTTTTTTGCTTTGTGCAAATACTTTTCAAAACGAGCTCGTTAAAAAACATGTCCATTTAGATTTTGGTCTGAAATGCAGTCTTACATTTTTCTAAATCTGTTTGTTGAGATTCCCATGCCCTTCTCTTGTAAAGAAATGTACACAATTTTAAAACTCTTACTAAACTGGTTTCTTGACGAATAAATCAAACCATTCGAAATATGAATGTGTCGTTTCTTAGTAACTAAGTACATATTCCTAGAATTCCACTTCATGTCAAATATGACGAAACGCTGGATTATTTAGGTAACAGTTACACTTTAAAATTAAAGAGGTAATCATTACTTAGTGACTCAAAATATGGGTCGTGATTTAGTAAGGAAGATTATAAAGTTGGCAAATCCCAACAAACTCCATAGCTTTGGGCTACTTTTGAGAAAAATAATATTTTTTGTTATTGTCTGTAAGAAAATATAAATTTGTTTAAGAGCTTTTGACTTTTGCTCTTGATAATGGCAAGGCTTCCTTCATTATATCTACTTATGCCAACATCATATAAAAATCTTAATGGTGAAGCATAACTGCTTTAGAGTATGTAAATAAATGCCAGGACATGCCACTTTGGTTTATCTTTTATGTCAAAAGCTAGTTAGTTTATAATATACCTTCAGGATAAATATTGAAAATGATGCTAGTCATTACGAGAGATTCTTCGATATACAGTATTTTACGAATTTACATATTTTGTTGCATTCTTTTTTTCATCTGATGCTTCTAAATTTGAACGATTTTGAATATTTACAAATGCAATACAACCGGGCTTAAAATGTGAAGACATTTAAAAGTAACTTGCCACTTTAAGCCGTAGCATATTCATCAAGGGTGAATTTCTACTTGCCAAGGGCTAAATTTTAATTCACCAATGGCTAGATGAGAGTAGAAATGTTATGTCATGCAATACTAATATCATAAAGTTTGAAAGCATATGTACTACAGGTTAAGGAACTCATTTAATGGGACATGGGCATAAGGAAATAATGGACAGCACAAGTTATTGTTAGTATAACCCAGTAACATAACATTCTACAGAGCCGTACAACTGGTAGTAGACAAGTAAAAGTAGAGATTCGGCATTACCAAAACTGGTGAGTGCAGGGGGGAATCCATGACCCTTGCCTTTGGCCAAACTGCTCAAAAATGGTTTCACTTAGAACCAGAGGATGGCTCACGCAGCCAAATAGAACCATAACTAAGGCATTAGTAATGTAATGGTTATGGTGCTTAGACTGCTCCTTTAAACATTAAAAGACAAACCTGTAGCATTACTTACCTGGTCCTCTGATCGGGCCGTGTACACCAAAAACAATAGTCGTTCATGGGGCCGGTGCTGGTCAGGAGATTCTGAACGGCCGCTTACACTAAATGTAACAGCCATTCGTGCGGCCTGAATTCTAGAGAAAATTACACTACTTGCGTCCGTGGCACTTTCTTAAAAGGGGAAATGGGAGTGTCACGTTACTTTGGGCTTTTATTGGTTCACGTACGTTTTGTGTTCACAGGCATGATGTGGACTATTAAAATAACACATAACTGTATTTAAACTCCTTTGGCCTTATCTGCTGTGCCCTATCTCTCCAGTACCCTTTAGTGCGTTTCATCATACATTGTGATATTTCTGGTATTGACCCTGAGTTTCTCTGTTACCCTTTACGAGCTATTTTATCTGTTGCTTCAGCTAGTTCTCGTTTTCACTGTCTCTCTGTTACCCCGACCGGGGCTTGTATTTGACCACATTTCCTCTCTATACCACGTTACATCCAGTCACTCTAAGGCCCGGTAATAAATGTATTTCAGTCCAATTTGTTACTGCTAACCTAAACTCTATGTTGCGGTTATACAACGTGACACCATCCCCTAACAGTAATAAAACACACACATTAAATCCAAGTCAACAATGTATGACTTTATTTTTGTTACATAAATCCCTGATAGTACTTATATTACATTTGTCACTTCCCAGGTTTGCTAATATTATGTTTACTTATCACTATATTTAACAAATATGTATTTGTGAGGTGTGAAAAATAAAATTAAATACATAAGTCCACATCTATTTATGTTTCAACTGGGTGCCTCCATCTTAACTTTTTGCCAATCATTGTTAATAAACTCTTTCGTTTGCACATTGCATTCAGCATGGAGAAACCATACAAAGAAGATGAGAAGTGGAATAATGACTTCTTGAGGTTTGTTCTAATTTTCATTGTAATTTATTCTAATGGATATCAACATATCAAGCTATTTAAAAAAACAAAAATAAACTTAGTGGAAGTTTCACTGGGATCTGCGATTTTCATAGTTTTTCGCATCAGATCCTTCAACCTCCGGATAATGCCACTTGAATGTTTCTAAAATACATCCTTCTTATGGACGTTTAGTCCATAATGTTCTATACAATTATTTACCTTTGTTAAGGTCTACTAACAAACGTAATTGAAGATACATGTGGACATCTGGTGATGGAAGCAAGCTTAGATGAAAGGCTACTAATCCTTATTAAACATGACGAGTGATCTCAGAATCTACTTTAAATCCTTTCACATAAGATTTACATCCGAACTCAACCAGCATTGATTAAAGCAGCAGTTCTTGGTTAATTTCCCATCTGTAACTCAGAGAATTTAAAAACCATTTTCACCCCGCTCACTTGTGTACTTTGTTTAAGGATTGAGGATTTTCATTTTAAAGGGACATTCATAGTACTATAATCACTACAGGTTGTTTACGAGTCCCTCTTGATGATAATTTTTTTTTTTTTTGCATTTTATTTATATATTTTAATAATTTGACAAAAGTATCCCTAACGCTCGAAACAAACTGCTTTCTCATCCAACATCAGAATTAAGAATTTTTTTTTTTTGTAATTCTTTATTTTTGTTATGCATAGTATATCAAACATGCTTGCAATGCCACAACAGCAATTACAAGCTGGCTTATCGATCACATGGTAATACTGTAACATGGCACATAGAGTAATGGCACAGTGTATGGTAAAAGCAGTATAATAAGGTGCCTGTTCGGGCTAAACATATATATTTTGACGGTGTGTTGGGTAGTGGAGAAGTAGTCTCGTCTTGCAGCTAGTTAAGGTGTAGCTCATTAATTGTGTTGTAGAGGTTATTAAATAGTGGAGCCGCTTGTAGGGGACTCAACCTAGTAGATGCTGCCGCACTCATAGTATATACAATTGGGTTTACCCCCTCACAGCGAAGGTCGCTGTTCGGGCGGTAGTTCTGGTTTTGAGGTTATGTCAGCCTTCAGGGTTTGGTGCAGTTTTGTGAGCGTTTGAGCAGTGTAGTTTCTCGTTTGGTTTCTGATTTGGTGGTTTTTACATGTTATAGGCCTGCAGTAAGGTTGCCTGCTGCTAGAGTGTCACACAAGAAAGAGTGGCACAAGCCTTTCTTTGTACTATAGTCTGAGTGTTGGGTGTGTGTTCTCCGTTAGACGTCAGGACCGTTTTGTTGTTTGCTTGTGTGTGTTTCGCTTGGTCTCTGTGGTCAGTTGCATCGTCTTGGGTGCGTCTGAGTTGCGTTTGCGATGTTAGCTGCGGCTTGTTCCAGTGGTCAGGGGTGGTTGTCGTGTCTTGTGGTTTTGGGTTCGCGGTGTTATTGTGTGTATAGTCTATCGTGGGTATATTATGGGTAGCTTGTGTATGGGGATAAGGCATCGCGCCTCCAGGGGAGAGGGGGGAGAGTGGGGGGGATGGAGGGAAGTTACAGAGCGGCCGGACGTCCCCGACCCCGTCTTACACTCCCACAATGTGTCTCATAACCCAAGGGTCCCAGATTTTGTGGAAGTGTTTTGTCGTGTCATGTAGAATGGCTGAGAGTTTGTCCATTTCCATGGTTTCATTGGTTTTTTGGATCATCTTCGCCAGTGTGGGTGTGTTGTGGTTACCCCATTGCTCTGCTATGGTGCGTCTAGTAGCGAGGGCTATTTTCGCTACCAGTTTGTTTTGTGCTCTTGTTAGGCTGGGTAGGGGTTTGGAGAGTAGCCACGTCCAAGGGTCCGTGGGTATGTCTTCGTGCAATATTCTGGAGGTGAGGTTAGCAACCTCAGTCCAGAGTTGCGAGCTGCAAGGGCAGTGCCACCACATGTGTATGTATGTACCTTGTTGTCCGCATTTTTTCCAGCACGTGTCTGTTTGGGCTATGCCCATCTGTTTGAGTTTCAGAGGCGTTAGGTACCATCTAAGCATGGTTTTGTACGCCTGTTCTTTGTGGTTCATATGGTTAGTGAGGCGGTTGCTTCCCATATGCTTGCCCAGTCTGTTGGGTCATCCGGTGGGCCTATGTCTCTTTCCCATGCTTTTGTGTATGTGAGTGTGTCCGCTGGGGAGTTGGAGTTTAGTACGGAGTATATCAGGGAGATTTGTCCTTTATGTGTGGGGGCTTGTAGGCAGTTTGTTTCGAATCGAGTGAGTTTTGCGGTTGCTGTTTTCCTATTCTGAGGTTCTGTCAGGAAGCTGCGTAATTGTAGATATCTAAAGTGGTCGAAGGTGTTCAATGGCATGGTACATGGGAGTTCTGGGAATGGGATTAGTTGTTGGTTTTTATAGAAATCTCTGAGTCTGTTTAGTCCGTTGTCTTCATAATGTGCGTAGTCACGTGGTGTCATGCCTGGGGGGAATTGTTTATTTCTAAGGATTGGGGTAAGTGGTGAGGGGGAGTTTATGAGGGGGTATCGTGCGGTGGTTCTGTCCCAGACCTGTAGTGATGTAGTTAGGGCGGGTGTTGTTGGGGGAAGTGCCGGTCTGTCTTTTTTTGGGAGCCAGAAGAGGAGGGAGGGGTGGTCTCTGCCGAGGAGGTCGTGCTCCAGATCGACCCAGAGTTTTGTCCCCGGGGGGGAGTGGAGGTGTTGCACTTGGGCTAGTTGGGCTGCTTGGTAATATGGCATATTTTTGGAGGAGTGTGAGTAGGGGGGGCAGGGAGTTGGTGGGGTCCGTGAGTGTCAGTAGGATATCATCTGCGTACGCTGCGATCTTATATTCTTCCTGTCGGACTTTGAGGCCCAGGATTTCGGGGGATATGCGAATGAGTTGAAGAAGGGGTTCTAGGGAGAGGGCGAACAGGAGTGGGGAAAGCGGGCAGCCTTGTCTGGTTCCATTTTTTATTGTGAATTCATGCGGGCCAGTGTTGGGGAGAAGGAGGGTTGCCGTGGGGTTGGAATACAGTGTTGTGAGGGCCGTGATGATGGCGTCGGGGAAGTGGAATTTTCGTAGGGCGGCAAATAGGAAGGGCCAGAGTAAGCGGTCAAACGCTTTTTCCGCGTCCATCGAGAGTAGGAGGGTGGGGATGTTCCTATGTTGGGCTCTCCATATTAGGTCTACCGTGCGTCTGGTGTTGTCGCATGCTTGGCGGTTGGGGATGAATCCTACTTGGTCTGGGTGCACGAGTTTTGGAAGGAGACGTTGTATTCTGTTGGCCAGTGTTTTCGTGAGGATTTTGATGTCTGTGTTGAGGAGAGATATTGGGCGGTAATGTCCAGGGTCTAGGTGTGTTTTGTGTGGTTTGGGGATTAGGCATATGTTGGCCTTGAGCATCTCTTGTGGTACCTGGTCGCCTTCCATTATAGAATTGCAGAGTGCGGTCAGATGGGGTATCAATGTGGCGCTGAACGTTTTATAATAGAGGCCTGTGAAGCCGTCAGGTCCTGGGCATTTATTGGGTTTAATGTCCTTTATTGTGAGGGCTATTTCCTCTTCAGTGATTGGGGACGCGAGGGTGTTTCGTTCTTGGTCTGTTAGTGCTGGGAGGGGGATTTCCGATAGGAAATCGTGAATTTCTTGTCCTAACGTTGGGTGAGTGAAAGTGTGGTTGGGTTTATGGTCGTATAATTTGGAGAAGTAGTCAACGAATATAGAGGCTATGCGGTCAGGGTCTTTATGGGTTCTGCCTCCAGGCGAATGTGATTTCGTCTATGTGTTTTTGGAGAGTTTTATGTCGGAGTCTACGCGCAAGGAGGGTGTCTGCCTTGTTGGACTTCTCATAATATAGTTGTTTGGTCCATTGTAATGCTTTTTGGGAATCTTTGGCCATATAGGACTTTATTGCGTGTTGGTGCAATTTAATTTGGTCGAGCAGTGATTGAGATGGGGTGCGTTTGTGTTTGGCTTCTATTGTCCTTAGGGAGGTCAGGTGTTGTTCTAATTCCCGGAGTGTTTGTCTTCTGTGGGCGCTGGCTGCGCTAATTATGGTTCCTCTGATTGTTGCTTTATGGGCTGCCCATAGTGTGTTCGTGGATGGGACCGATCCCGTATTGGTCTCGAAATAGTTTGTGAGCTCCTGTTGGATTGTTTGTCTGATTTGGGGGTTATGTAAGAGTGTGGGGTTTAACCGCCAGGTCCACGCTTTGGCTGTGCGGGGCTTATCTATGTTGAAAGAGATTTCGGCGTGATCAGACCAAGTGATTGAACCTATCGAGGTGGAGTGTGTATAAGGTACTAGGGAAGGGGATATTAAAAATAGGTCTATCCTGGAGTAAGAGGAGTGTGGGTGCGAGTAGAAGGTGAAGTCTGGGGTTGTGTGGTGTTGGAGTCTCCATATGTCTTGGAGGCCTATCTGGGTGGCGAGCTCCATGAGGAGATTGTCATTTTTCCTGGTAGGGGGTTTGCGTGATTTGTTTCCCTCCGTGCTTTTCCTATCTATAGATGGGGTTAGGACTGCATTGAAGTCCCCGCCTAAGATAATGTGGTGTGAGGGGAACAGTTTTAGTTGTGTGCGTAGTGCTGTCCAGAAGGTCGGTTCGGGTGTATTTGGGGCATAGACTGTGGTAATCGCGTATTTGTGATTGGCGAAGTGTCCCGTGACTGTCAAATATCTCCCTTGGGGATCTGGGAGACTTTTTAAGATTGTGATTGGGCAGTGTTTGTGAACCATAATGGCTACTCCGTTTTGTTTGCCGTGTGGCGAATTTGCTAGGTAGCATTGTCTGTAGTTTTTGTTGATGAGGGGAAAGGGTTTTTTCGTGTCAAAATGGGTTTCCTGGAGGAGGATTATATCTGCTTTTGTTCTATTGGCCCAGCGAAGTGTGCGGTGTCGCTTGGCTGGATTGTTAAGTCCCTTGCAGTTGATGGATATGCAGGAGATTGTGTCCGGTCTGGTCGTGTGTGTTTGTGGTGGTGGGTCGTTGGTGGGCATTCTTTAGTGTGGTGTGGGCTTCGGGTCGAGGGGGTGACCTGGCGTCCGTCCGCTCTTATTAGGGGGGGGTCCGGTGGGGGTGGGTGGTGGGAGAGGGGGATGGGTGAGGTTTACAAAACCCTTGGGGGTTTGGGTTGCAAAGTGTCTATCCTGGTCTTATGTGGTAGTTGCCAGGTAAAGTGGGGGGAGGCGGTGTTGTACACCTTGGGTTGGTCGTGTGGTTGGTGTCGCCCGGGGAACCCGGGGTTCAGGGGTGGGGAAGAGGAGGAAGAGTTTCACGTTCCTGTTACTCCTCTCCCCCCCGCGCTAGGTGTGGTGCAGCACTCACGATTTGGCGGTGCGGTGGTATCTGTCTGTGGTGTAAGGTGCCAGTCGTGGTCCCTCCATTGGTGTTTGGAGTGTGTCTCATGTTGTCCTCATCTGTGGTCCTGTGGATGTTGTTTCAAGGATCATGTTGTCGGTGTCTATTATAAGTAGTAGAAAACATTAGGTAACATAGTAGAAAACATAGTAGAAAACATGGTAACAAAAACACAGCATTTAAAACAGCATTTAAAAACATTTAAAACATTTCTGCTATAAGTGTGTACACAGATCCGGAGTTATCGCATGTGTACCATCTGTGTGAACATTAAGCTATATAACAGTTTCATGCTAGTGACGGATCCGGATTGAGTGGGTTTACCCGTCTATCTTGCTTGGGTCGGGGGGGGGTGTCTGGGGGTCGTCCTGTCCTGATCAGTGGGAGTCCGTGTAAGTGGGTTTGTGGTGTTGCGTTGTGTTGGGGGGGTAGGTAGGTTTGGGGGGTTTCCCCCGGATTAGTCGTGGGATGTCCCCTTTTACACATTTGTAAATAGCTAATGGTGTTGTCATGGTCTATCCTGTGTGGATGTGAGGATTCGGGTAGTTATGGGGAAGGTGATACTGTCTGGTTGGGTTGGTTAGTGGAGTTCATCTTGGGTTCCGGGGGGGGGATGGGGTGGGTAACAGTGCGTTCCAAGGGGGTTCGTCCTATGGGGTCGGGGCGGGGACTGGCTAACTAGTCCTGGGCCATTTTGGGGGGGTACCTGCAAAATAAGAGATGGTTAGATTGTAAGTCCAGTAATCAGCTAGAGAGTCCCCAAATCAGGCAGTGGATAGTTCTTGGGTAGCACGTCAGGCTTGTTGTTGGATGTGGTTTCAGGCGAGGTGTGAAGAGGTATATTGTCCGAGCTCTGTTGTTCCAGTGTGGTGGTGATCTGGATCTGTGCCTGGAGTTGAGTAGGGGATCTTGTAGCGGTTGGTGGGCTTTGTTCAGGGCTCCTCCCGGATATCCCGAGTGCTTGGGTTTCAAGTGAAGTGTGGTAGTTATACGTATCCAGTGGCCGATATGTCCAGGGTCTGGGCCAGGTCGTGGGTTAAGAAAGAGTTTTCGTCCTGAGGTTGGGGGTGGGTGGGGGCAGGATGGCATATGGCGGAGAAGGTATGGGGTGTTTTGTTGGTTGAATGGGGGCCGCTTACTGCACCTGGATAGCTCCTGCTGTTGGTGGTGTGAAGGCTTCCAGGTGGCAGGCGATCAGACCCGTTAGGATTGGTGGCGGCTGTCTCGGCGTTGCCGAGGGGGTTCTCCCGGGCTAGCAGGTGTTCTCAATTTCTTGGGCGGCCTAGAGTCTTCAGGGTCGTCCTGTGGTCGCCCATCTTCACGGTTTTTGTGGAAGGGGGCCAGTTGTAGTAGTTGTATTCCTAGGGATTCTGCGAAGGGCGACATGTCCGACACTGAGGTGAGGATGTGCATTTGATCGTCTTTCTTGATCATGAGTTTGAAGGGGTGTCCCCAGGTATATTTGATGCCTTGTCGCTGGAGGGCAAGTGTCAGAGGTTTGAGGTCTCTTCTTTTTTTGAGTGTGGAGGGGGCTAAGTCTTGGAAGAAAGTTAGACGGGTTTCTTTATAGCGTGGGGGTTTGTCCCGTGCTATGGTTAGTAGTTTCTCTTTAGTTGTGAAGAAGTGTAGGCGGGTGATCACATCCCTTGGGGTGGAGGCGCCCAGATTTTGCGGGCGGAGGGCTCTGTGGGCCCTGTCTAATTCCATCTCTTGAGGTGTGAGGTCAGGGGCCAATGTTTTAAAAATGTTGTGAAGTGTGGGGACAAGTTGTTCCATGGTGACGGTTTCGGGTAGGCCGCGGATTCGTATGTTATTACGTCTGGACCTGTTTAGGTCTTCTAGGCCATCTTCTAGTGCAGCCATGTGGCCATATAGGTATGCTATGTCTTGAGTGTGAGATGTGGAGGTGGCATATATGGAGGCAATCCGGTTTTCAACCTGGTCTATGCGGGCGGTGAGGCCTACTACTTCCTCTTTAAGGCCTGCCACATGTCTTTCCATCTCGGCGGCTACATGGGCCTTAATGTCGTTGGTGGCTTGGTGCAGCATGTCTCTCAGTACCGCGATGGTTATGGGGGCCGCCGGGTTCATCACTGTGTCCAGACTTTCCTCTTCTGCCTGTGAGGAGGTTGGTCTCCGTTGGTCTGATGGCGTGCGGAATATGGAGGCCACCGATGGGTTCGTGTCCCTCCGTTTCTTGTTGCCGCCCATACTTGGTTTTTCCGTACCGGGCGGGTGCCAGCTGTGTTGGGGTTGCTGCTGGTATGAGGGCAGACTGTTTCGAGGCGTGAGGGATGCGGATGGCAGGGGATTTAGCGCGTGGGGGGATCGGAGCGGTAGGATCAGGCGTCCATCTTCGTCCGAGGTTAGGCCACGCCCCCAGAATTAAGAATTTTAATTTCCTCAATCCCCTTGCAAGGTTATTGTCAGGATACTAGTTGATCCAGCACGCAGAATTGTGTCACACCTGGGACTAAAGGGAACGTTTTACCTGGCCTTAGAATGGCCAGACTTAACGTACCAGAGAATAGTCCGTAAACTTGCCGAGGTGAAGGACACAGAAGGAGACACAATGATGAGGCAAAGCCAAAAGTCAAGGATACCAGAATACAGGGAAGTCAAAACGTAGCCAAAGTCAAAAACCAAAAATAAACGCTCAGAAACACACTCTCGGATAACTTACTAAGGAAAACCACAACAGGGCAATGATGAGAAGTAAAAATGTGTTTAAATAAGCCACTTACAAATCTTATTGACTGAAATCTGCTTTTGATCCCAGAACGTGTGTGTGCGTCTCTCGAGTGACGTCACGTTCACGCTGACATAGTCACCACCGTGGACGGACGTGGGGTTATAAATTGGCATGGATCCGCAGCGGCCGGCGTCCTCCAACATGTCACAGGAGTCAGGTATACTGACGCATGGCCGCTGAGGGGCACTTATGTTATTGTCAGGGAGGCAATTACTGCAGATACCGCAAGGTGAGGATGAATATGTTACAGTTTTGAAGAGCAACCGTGCTGAGCTGATTAACTCAATAAAGGCCTTTTAGGGTGTGACATTGCAAGTTAAGGGGTGGCTTACCTTCCACTGTAGCCAAGGAGATAGGAAAGGAATTTGTCAAACCACAACAGAGAAAAGGCAAAAATTGATACACTCCACATTTAGATTCTGAGCAACATAAACACTACAATAAGCTATAGTAGCTGGCGGCATTAAGGGCGCATATATAAGATAGTATTACAAGCAGTGTTTTGTTACTGACTGTAAAATGACAGGTAAATTTCATCACCTTTGGATATCAATGGTTCCTATAAAATGGTAATCATCAGGTTAAATTATAAATTACTAAACATCTGCCAACATTATATTAAGGATAGAAAGTATATTAAATAAATTAGAGCTAGCTGTGCAGTGTTCAAAACATGGATCTTTTTGGGTGTAAATATTTTGAGAAAAATTTGTTTACACTTAAACATGAAAAGTGCAAAGAGGCCACGTGTGTTCTCTCTTTTATTACACTTTTTTGGAGCAGTTTAAAAAAAAAAAAAAAAAAAAACCAAGGCTTTCCCTTTCAGCCATAACCATCCCTTATACAACCACATTGATATGAAAAATGTACACTTCTGCATTTTTTTTTTTTATCAATTTTGTCCAACATGGATTACAGTAATTGGTTGGGGGCAGGAGAGCAGAATGTTCTCAGCCTATTATGGCTCCAGAACGCTCAGCCCCTTATTGCTGTCAAGCATGGCAGAAGTTAATCATGATAATGTGGACGTATACTGAAATTTTGCATTATTATTTCAGCTTGATAGAAAGAGGGCTACTAACTTGTAACTGTAATGGTTACTGTTTAGTGTGTTCCTTTAATTGAAAATTACACCCGAAGTTACGCTTTCTACCAGTTTGTCTCATTCAAACCAGAAAGAAAGCTTTAATAGGTTACAAGATATCCAGTCCTCAACTCACTAATCCTCTTCTCTTATATTCGTTAACTTCACATACCTAAATGGTGGCATAGATGTATGTGTATGGCTTAAGCTCTAAAACTAAAGTACAATGCAACGTTCTTGATGTTAAAGGGTATCTGTTATGGCAAATACAACAATTTTAAATGATAATCAAATATGTATACACTGTGCTAGCAGAATTGCTATCAAATGTCTAGAAATAAGTAAAGAAAATAGCCATTTCCTCCTTCCCCTCAGTCAGTTCAGTCTGTGCTGGTCAGCACAAAAGATTTGTTTGTGCTCTGCATGTCTGTGATCAGGGAAAGCAATACCTGCAAGGGAAATAAGGGAGGAGGGGTAGGCTCTGTGTGAGAGCAGCTGCAGCACTGAGAGAAAAAACCTGATCTGAGAATGGAAGGACAGAGAACAGATACATTTTATTTACATGCCCTAACGAGCAAGGGATTTTTAATTTGTTATGGGAAATAATTTGATATGGGAAGTCTGTGCTTCCCAAATGGGTACGCAGGAGAGGTAGAGTGTGTTGCAGCAATTGTACAACACACTGTAATGATGATTGATGCTGTAAGCAGGAGACGTGGGTAATTGAAATACATTGAGATATATGCTTTTAATAGTATTAATGGAAGAAACACTCAATTGTAAGAGTCAAGCCTGATGGTTAAAAAACTGCAAAGCTATAATTGTCATCACAGTCTCACTTTAAATTTAAAGGTGGTTGGGTGCTATACTCCGACAGTTTAACCCCATGTACACAATGTGGTTAACATCATACCCAATGTTATGCAATGGCAACTCTGGGAGACAGGACAACATGCAGGTCTTTCTTTTAGTGCACCCAAGATTTGCCCCAATGCAAACCCAATGAGTAATGTTAGAAATGGTGTAATGGCACACTCAACATGTTTTTTCTGCAATACTGCTAAATCTTGACATCAATAATGGGGGACTGGGAGAGGAAATATCAGAACTAACCATGCA